AAAGAAAGAAAGAAAAAAGAAATATACACCTGCACAGCGACACTATCAAGAGGATTCCTGAAGACTAATGGCGACAGATGCTAGGTTGTAGCACTTCCAACCTAGGTCCTTAATGAGCCCCACAACTTTTCTGCTAAATATTTCCCAAAGTCATGCCCTCAAGGAAATTCTGATCCTGCTAATCCCAATTCCCTTCTCAGGCCTCTCTGGCACACATATCAGTGACACGAGAGAGGAGACCCACCTTTGCAGCCCGGCTTTTATACTTAGAACTAGTAATACAGGGGAAAGCTATCTAACTCATTTCCATTCTCCAGCAAATATAAATCTTTCTGACTTCCACTAATCTTTATTAATTACACTAATTGTTAATTTTCATAGCATCCAGAAAACAAAGAAATCCAAATTCGAGTTCATTACACAGCCTACCTACCTGAATCTAGCAAAAGGAGAAATTTCAATTCCACAGTATAAATTTCAATGCAAAGCTATTCCAAAGTAAAATTTACCCAACCTATACCAAAAACCTGTTTTTCTCACATTGCCTCACACTTACATGTTGCTTCAAATCAAAATCTACATCTCTGGGCTGGGCATGGTGGCTCACGCCTATAATTCCAGCACTTGGAAGGTCTGAGGTGGGTGGGCTGCCTGGGCTCACGGGTTCGAGACCAGCCTGAGCCAGAGCAAGACCCCCGTCTCTAAAAAATAGCCATGTGTTATGGCGGGCGCCTTGTAGTCCCAGCTACTTGGGAGGCTGGAGGTGAGAAGATCACCTGAACCCAAGAGTTTGAGGTTGCTGTGAGCTAAAATGCCATGGCACTCTACCAAGGGTGATAAAAAAAAAAAAAATCAAAATCTACAGCTCTGGCTTCCTGAATTTAAAAAAGACACAGCCCTGTCCTGAAGGCCTGAGTGGACCACATTACATAAAAAATGTAAGCAATCCTGCTGCCTGCCTTTGCAGGAGACCCCACCATAAACAAAAATAAAGGGACTTGTTATTGAAAATTCAAATTACAGTTTCACACATAAAGGAAAAAAAATTGCTAGAAACAAGACAGAAGAACAGTCCTGAGGGAAGCCTACTGAGAGGACAAGCCCAAATCCAGACCCACAAGCACAGAAGACCGGCATTCACGACCGGATCGAGTAAGCAAGAGCAGAGAAAGAAGGCTCTTCCCACCTTGTCAGTTTGCGTAAGGTGCTCGAGACTTTGAATCCATCCCAAATGAGAAACACTGAAGTTTTGGAAAAGTCCATACACACACAATATATGCATTAACATAGGACATAATTTTTTAAAAATGAGGGGCTATTTATTGTGCCTATATTCATCTAAAACTCTCAGCATTTATAATTTTCTTCAACCACTTCATACATATTAAGAACCAACCAAGAAAAATATATGTGCTAAAGGACCAAGGGAAGTGGAGAAAACAGATGCAAGTAAAGGGAAAAAATAAAGGTATACAGACTACAGGCTCTGTCCATTTCAATGAGTAACCTTAAAGCTTTCTACAGTCATTCACTGAAAATCCTTACCACCTCCTCCAAGCTTCAGTCACATTAGGTCTATCATACTTGTTTCTACCACAAATGTTTACTATCTGAGTTCTCCGGAATTAATGCCCAGAAGTGCAATTGGTGGGTTGTATGGCTATGTTTAAGGTTTCAAAAAAAATGCCATAATATTTTCCAGAGTGCCTGTACCATTTTACATTCCCTCTAGCAGCATGAGAAATCTAGTTTCTTCACCTCCTCACCTGTATTTGATACTGCCACTCTTTTTTATTTCGGTTGTGCAAAAAGGTATGTATTGATCTCTAACTGGGCCATGATTTGCACTTCCCTAATGGCTAGTGGTGTTGAACATTTTTTCATGTGTTTATTTGCTATTCAGTATATCTTCTTCCATGAAACGTCTCTTCACTGCCTTCGACCATTTCCAATCTCAATTGTTCAAGTATTGATTTTTTTAAAAATAAAGTGAGATATAATTCACATACCATAAAATCTACCTTTTTGGGGGTTTTCACAGAATTGGGCAACCATTACCACTATCTAATACCAGAACATTTTCATCTCTCAAAAAGAAACCCTATTCCATCTGCAATCATTCCACACTCTCTCTACCACTTTGCTCCCAGCATCCACTAATCTCGTCTCTGTCTGTATAAATTTGCCTATTCTGAACATTTCACATAAATGGAGCCATACAACGTGTCTTTTAG